CGTTTTAATTTTTTCTCTTTCGTCGCGTAAGTGGCAGAAATACGTATTTTTTTACTTTTTTGCCGTCCTCGGCGGGCGGAGGCGGTGATATCGAAAAACCGAAACGGTGAAATTCGAGATTTGCCTTCTAGTTTCCTGGATAATGAAGGTCTAGAGGCCTAGACTGATTGCTCTCGAAGTTATTTCAACTTTTTCCCTGCGCGCCCGAGATATTGTAGTGGAACAAATATCGAATGCACTAAGCGCACGGAGACAGCTTGGGAGATGTTAAATTCGAAGCTACGAGAGGTGAGTTCACGCTCCATTCTTTCAGGTAAATGCAAATAGTTACCCCCTGCTAATATTGATTAGTAAGCCACAACAACTGATTGGTATTGCAGTAATGATTTTTTCCCAACATAATACGCACTTTCATTTTCAATGATCTGAATAAAGGTGGTCTTGTTTAGACATCTCGCTGTNATTTCACTGATATCAAATGTGAAAGTTTAATTTAAATCATGAAGTCGTGATTTCAAATCATAGACGCATGGTATGAAACCAGGATTTATTATATCAAACCATGAACACATGATTTGAAATCAGAATTTATTATATCAAATCATAGACGCATGATATGAAACCAGGATTTATTATATCAAACCATGAACACATGATTTGAAATCAGGATTTATTATATCAAATCATAAACCCATGATTTAAAATAGTAATTTATTATATCAAATCATAAATACATGATTTCATATCACGAAACTTTATTTAGTAAATAACGAAAACAAATGATAAAATTAAGCTAAATCATTTTTTTACAAACGGCGCCCCATAGAATATCGTCTTCCAACACGAAGTTTTTGGCCCATAGACGTGCAAAGAAGGAAGAATGGGACACAGCTGAAAGTTCTACCGTTTTAGGTTTTTCTCTTTCGTCGCGTAAGTGGCAGAAATACGTTCTTTTTTACTTTTTTGCCGTCCTCAGCAGGCAGAGGCGGTGATATCGAAAAACCGAAACGGTGAAACTCGAGATTTGCCTTCTAGTTTCCTCGATAAAGAAGGTCTAGAGGCCTAGACTGATTGCTCTTGAAGTTATTTCAACTTTTTCCACGCGCGCCCAAGATATTGTAGTGGAATAAATATCGAATGCACTAAGCGCACGGAGACAGCTTGGGAGATGTTAAATTCGAGGCTACTAGAGGTGAGTTCACGCTCCATTCTTTCAGGTAAATGCAAATAGTTACCCCGTGCTAGTATTGGTTAGTAAGCCACAAAAACTGTTTGGTATTCCAGTAATGGTTTTTTTTCCAACATAATAGGCACTTTCATTTTTAATGATCTGAATAAAGGTGGTCTTGTTTAGACATCC